CTGCTGTGGGCCTCGTATCCTGTATGCAATCCCACCTCTGAACCCACCTGTCTATGTAGGCCGCACGGACTAAAGGTGTTGGTCTCTGGCCTCCACCTCTCAATCAAAGCAGTGATAAGCGGCCAATCAAGCCTGATATAACGAATCGTCGAACACGGTCGAAAACCGGCCTGAGCGATCAAAGCTAGTACCCTCTCATCCTCTATGACCCATGCCGAATGACTATGGGAATGCTCGATCATCGTGTACTCTGGTACGGGCTGCACATAAAACGAGAATCAGTTTTAAGTATATTCATTAAAAAATTACATTAATCGAAGAAATATATATCTAATTTATTCGTATTACCTCTCCCGAACCAATATGGTCTGAACAATGACTCGCCTGAAGGTACAAAACGTCGGGATTCTCCGGTCCCGGATCCATAATGAATAGACCTGTGATTAAAATATGAGCATATATACAAAGTGCAATGAACACAGTATCATACATAGCATATTACAAATTGGTTCGGACATAGTGCAAAACGCTACATAATACAAATGCATGGGTGAAATGAACGGAGTTGCATACAGAACATATTACAAATAACGAGTATCATACGCTTCAAAGATAACAACTACGAATGACATAGTGCAAAACGATACATAATACAAATCAACGCCTAATACTAACTGGACACCTATTTTTGTTGTGACCCGGTTGATCACATCTACTGCACTTATTTCTCCTCCTAGCTCCTTCACGTCCGTCATCCATACTATTTCTAATACGCACGGAACGAGGGCGCCCCGCCGATCTTTTATACAGTGGAGGTAATATCCGTGGCCCATCTTGTGTCCAATGTCGACTATCGTATGGTGGACGAAAACACTCTTTGTAGGTTTGTTGATAGTTGTATGCAGAATACCAAGCGTCGACAAATTCATAATGTGAAATGCGAGCACCACCCTGTAGGTCGGAGCAAGCTGCTACAACATGTGAACAAGGAATCAATTGTAGTTGCGGTACATTGCAAGTGCACGTACAAGTGTGATCCACCAACATATTGACTTTGTAAGAGCGATTTTCTCTATGGGTTATTCCCTCGAGCACCTCCCATTCATTAAAACTGTATCGTACAACCTGAAAGGACCGAGCTTGTACAATCCGAGCCGCTAGCATTTCATCAACCTTCGGTGTTAGCTGGGAGCGCATATTTTCACCAAGTTCTCGACGTCGAACAAAGAATTTATTAAGCCTGTAAAAAGTTTTAGCAACTAGTGCCTGTATTGGCATGCCGCGTGCTCCCCTGAGCACGCCATTGAAGCTCTCAGACGCGTTCGTAGTCATCATACAGAACCGTCGACCGCCATCCTCACATAAAGCCCACTTATCAACATTGTTTGGACCCAAACTAGTTTCGATCCAATCATGTGCGGCTCGTGAAGTGAACTTGATCCTCTCTCGTATTTGTTCATAAACATATTTTTCTGTTGCACAACCGGCTTGCCAAAGTAAGTCTTGAACCTGAGCGTTTCCATACTTCTTCTTGAAGTTGTCTCTAATATGTCGCAAGCAATAGCGATGTGCATATGGTGACGGGAAATGTCGTTGGAGTGCTCTTGGAATTCCTTTCATCCTATCGGATATGAATGTAATCGGCCGCGTCCCCACACTAGGGATATGATATCTAATGCATGCAAAAAACCAAGCCCAATTCTCTGTATTTTCAACATCAACCACTGCGAATGCTAAAGGAAACAACCCGCCATCCGCGTCAACTCCGGTTGCAACAAGCAAAACGCCTTTGTATTTACCATATAAGTGAGTTCCATCAATGCTAAGAAGAGGACGGCAATATCGAAACCCCTCAATACAGGGCCCAAATGCCCAAAATACACCGGTGAACCGCCGTTCTCCGCCATCAACGGGGTCCGAAGATACTTCGTAGACAGTCCCCGGATTTTCTCTTTTGTGTGCTTCAAGATAATGAGGTAAGATCTCATACGAATTATCCTTATCCCCGAATATTTTTATCATCGCCTTCCTCCTAGCATTCCAACACTTGTGATATGATACATCCAAGTTAGTGGCTTTATGCACTAAAAGACGGATATCTTTCGGCCTTAGATCAAGATCCTCCCTCAGATGCGGTAAAATCAATCGATATATAAAAGAAGAGGACGCATTCTTGTTATTCATCTCTAATCGAGGATTGCTACAAGTGTGGAGTCCATTGTATGCCGTGATTTTGAATTGCCCACCTACTCTTGAACCCGAGCGTGAATTAAGCTTCCACGGACACCTCGCATTGCCGTCGTGTTGTCCACTATTATCTTCGACATCGTCATCTTTGGGATAGAAACAAACCACATTATAGCTTGTCGTATTATTTTTGGTAGGCCTAAACTTCACATGTTTTGTAATGGAATACGTGCGAATAGCATGGATCAATTTCTCCTTACTCTCGTAAAGATCTCCCTTGATGAATGAGAAGTCCTCGGCCTGTGTATCAACACCGCTATTAGTGCCAATATGAACACTTTCCATCGCGGAGTTATCAATCCATTCATCTCCTTGAAGTTCATCGGGCGGCGGATCCTCTAAGCCGACATACTCATTATTAACATAAGCCCCGTCGATATGTTGGTTTTCCCCGTCATCACGATCTATCAAGGTCATGCTATTAATTTGTAATCCCTCCTCTTCATCATCATTCTCGGATTCAACACTTGCATTATCTTCTTGAATTCCCGTGTTAGTATCGAAAGCATTCGAAGTGCCCACGAACGAAGGACCGCTCATGTATTGTGATTGTGTCCAACATTCATCTTGTTGAGGAGATAAAAAGCCTACAGAATCAACTTCAGGATCCTCCAACATGCGGGAATACATTCCTTCGTAGTTCAACGATTTGCCCAAATCTCTCTGATGTTTTTCAATGAACAATTCGACCGAACGCTTCTCGTCGTGTAAGACATGAATGAGACCCATATCGTAGTCACTTGATATTTGAATGCCACTTGTTCTGTTCTCCACAACAGGATAATTGCAAACCACACTGAGGTGATACTCACGTGAGTTAGTTAATGTAAGTTTGTGTAATTCATTAACCAAATCATCGAAAGTACACGATTTTGTTATGAACAACGGTCTCGTCGTGCCTCCTTCATAAACGGGCATATTATTCTCGAGGTAATTAATCTTCCCATCATAAGAACAGAGAATTACAATTCGATCATTCATCGTTACCTCTGAAGAGTGAAAAATTCAATATCAATATTACACGAAAAGCCAAATAAATATTGATTGTTACTAATTTTTACATTTAGGTAGTAACTCTAATTTCCACATTAATTGATAATTTCACCTCTAAATACGCAAAATTATTTAATACGTCTTCACAAAATTCGTAAATAATTCACAATTAAATTCTAAAATCTAAATACAATAATTTTCGAAATTATTGATAACTTCCCCTCTAATTTCACAAAATTATTGATAATTTTCACACTAATTCTTCACAAATTTCACAAAATTATTGATAATTTCCCATTTAATAATTTCCCCTCTAATTTTCACATTTATTGATAATTTTTATATTTATTGATAATTTTCACACTAAATTTCACATTTATTGATAATTTCCCTTCTAATTTTCAGATTTCTTCACAAAATTCAAAAATAATTCATAATTAAATTCTAAAATCTAGATTTTTACATATAATCCCAATCAAATAGTGAGAGTATACAAAAATTAGAGAGTATAGTTTTTTTAGGAAGAATTTACCTTTTTTTTTGGATTTTTTGACTCAGATCTGAGATCTGACGGCGGCGGCAGTCGGAGCTGTGGCGGCGGCGGCGGTCGGAGGCTGGGTCGGCGTCGGCGGTCGGAGGCTGGGGCGGCGGCGGATCCTAGCTGCGGTGGCGACGGCACAGGGGCGGCGGCTAACGGGAACGAAGGAGTGGGTTTCGAACGAAAGAATAGGGTTTGCTGTGCCAGCGCGACGTTATAGGGGAGCCAAAACTCCACGGGAGTTCAACTCCCGTGGAGTTACAGTCGAACATTCCCAGAGAGTCGATCTCTGGGAATTTTTGACTGCAACTTCACGGGAGTGAAGGAGTGGGTTTCGAACGAAAGAATAGGGTTTGCTGTGCCAGCGCGACGTTATAGGGGAGCCAAAACTCCACGGGAGTTCAACTCCCGTGGAGTTACAGTCGAACATTCCCAGAGAGTCGATCTCTGGGAATTTTTGACTGCAACTTCACGGGAGTGAAGGAGTGGGTTTCGAACGAAAGAATAGGGTTTGCTGTGCCAGCGCGACGTTATAGGGGAGCCAAAACTAATTATTTTCAAAAGTGGTCGTTTTTTACAAATAAAATCCAAAAACGGTTGGTTTTGAAAATTTGTCCTTTTTGTTTACTTGGAAATATACCAGTAGGTTTTGCTTGAGAGAGACATAGGGGTATTTTCGTCACTATATAAAGAGTCATATACGATACCAGGCTTATTTTGAAGTATAAAGCCATGGGAGCGTCACTATATAAAGAGTCATATACGATACCAGGCTTAGTTTGCTATTATATTTATGAAGTATACGACATAGGGGTATTTTCGTCGCTGAGGGGACTAAACGTTCACCACATCATGGGAGCCTCTGCGGCATGGGAGCGACACGGACTCTCTCATGAGCCCAAACCCTCTACGCAAATGCAGCATCATGACTAGTTCTACTGTACTCAAGTGCAATATACATGCAACGTTTGATTTACACATATTTCCCCTCGAATCACTAGAATTGTTTGTGCTTACAAATTATAAATGTACACGCGTTGGACTTCAGAACAAGTTTGTTGTATCCACCACTTCACACAAGTGTGTTATACTTCATAAATATAATAGCAAACTGAAATCTAAGATCATGATACACCATCTTTGCAATCTAATATAGCAGGTATCCAGTTACAGGGAAACAATCTTGATATTACAAATTG